CTTGCTTTTCCTCCGGCTCCCCACATATCTAAAAAAAGACTTTTTATTGTCCTTGATATTTCTGATGGAACTCCAGGTAGCTACAGCCTTGGCTTTCCTGGTTCACTCTCTGCAGGTCCGGATCAGAGCAGAGTATTCCTCCTTGGTGGCTGTTCCAGTCCTCCATCCTTTGTAGGTCTTCCTTTTAAGATGCAGGAGGTCTGCCAGTTCCCTGGAGAGCCAAGAGGGCTGCTGTGCCCTTTTGCTGCCTTTCCTCTGAGATGGGATGGACTTTGCTTGTGTATCCAGGATTGCTCCCTTGAGGAGCAACTGCTCATCCTGAACTTCCCTCTCCTTTGTGTTGTGGCCTTTTAGGGCCTCTCTGACAAGCCTCCTTAGCTTGTCAAAGTCAGCTTTCTTGAAGGCGAGGACTTCTGTATTACTGACCAACTTGCCAGCTTTACGGCAGATGGTGAAGGCGATCAGCTCATGGTCACTGTTACCCAGCTTCCCTTTGACTGTTAGGTCGCTGATTAGGTCGTCCCTCATTGCCAGTACAAAGTTTTCACTTGTTTGGTGTAATTGCAGCCTCTTGCCCATGTCAGCCCTCATCTTCAGCCTTTCTTAGAGACCCATGGAGCCCATCACTAGTCTTTCAAGCCCAAGAGGGAATGACACTATTCTTCAAGGGGACCTAGTACAGGACAGTCTTGCATGTCTTACATCAGCTCCTAGAAGAGTAGAAGGGAAGGAAGGGTGCTTTCAGTTCATCCTGCTCACTCAGATGTGCAAGGTGGACTGGAGCTGGAGCAGGAGATACGGAACAAGCAGCTGCCTCTGCTCGTGAGAGGCTTGTCGTCTTGTTCTGTGATGGCTGTATGGGTGCTTACTGTGTTGTTGATCAGTTCAGGAAGAAGTCGCACGGCTTGCCATCCCCATCAGAAATGGGGCTGCTGCTTCTTCCCACATTAATTCTAGGAAAGTTGATTTCCCTTTGATTTCTCCCATCTGAGATGCAGAAAGGAAAGACAGCAGACTACATGAGCTCCATGTTGGTATTACCTCTTTGGGGTACTTTATTTGGTACTGTGTAACAAGTTTCCCTTGTTACACATAGAGGCTCTGTAGCTGCAGCTCTCCAAAGGCTCACGCAATCACTCTGTGTTTTCCCTTAGGAGACAAAATAACATATTGCGAGATGGCAAATAAGAGAGTCATGGAAGTGATCAACTCTGCCAGGACACGACAAGAATTCCTCCATGCACAGACTTTCCACAGCAGCCAGGGAGAAGATCACTGCTTCTCCCAGCAAGACCTATATGCGAGTGGGGACGTGAAACCGAAGCCAGACACGTGGGTTTATCCACTAATCCAGATGAAGCCCTTTGGGATTCAGATAGATGAGATGGTCACAGAGACACTACTGACAGAGGCAGAGCGGGGTGCCAGGGTGTACCTCACTACCGGCTACTTCAACCTGACTCAAGCCTACATGGATTTAATTCTTGGCACCAGGGCGGAGTATCAGATTCTGCTGGCTTCGCCAGAGGTGAATGGGTTCTTTGGTGCCAAAGGGGTGGCTGGTGCCATTCCTGCTGCCTATGTTTACATTGAGCACCAGTTTTACAATGAAGTGTGCTGCCTTGGCCAGCAAGAGAGGGTCAGACTGCAGGAGTACTTCAGGAATGGATGGACGTTCCACGCTAAAGGTGAGAGAGTTTGTTCCCAAGCCTTCTGTAGGGAAACTGCAAGGCTGGCATGGAGTGAGTATATGGAATTGGGGAGGGGGTGAGTCCACTAGCAAGCTGCTGTCACACCGTGCCAGTCCAGTGTTCAGAGCACCCATCGGGCACATACACCTGGAAGATCTGGGTGCCTGGGAGGCTGGAGGTTGCAAAGCAGTCTCTTTCCTTTTGGTTCCATCCAGTCCCCAGTCAGTAGCGACTCCAAGCAGTTTCCATGCGACAGTCGAGGATGGGCAGTTAGAGTAGAAGTCAGGAACAGAACGATGAGCACTTTGCTCCCTACTTCTGGCTTCCCCACATAGGATTAGAGTGGGGGAACTGGGGTAAAAGGGCATTATAGCTTATTCAGTGTGAGAGCAGTCCAATTGCCTTGTGCCTTTTGTACAGGGCATGGGGTGAGGAGAAAGGTGTGCCTCAGGCATACTTGGTCTGGGAGAACAGGAGACATCTGGATGAGTTTGCAGTAGTGATGGCAGTTTGATTCAGTTTCTCAGTTTCCTGTTGCTTTGGTCTAGGCAGTTTACAGAACAGGAAGTGATGCAGTGAGTCCTTTTCTAGAGATATGGAAGGGAGCCGGGGGCAGGAAATGGGCAGGATCAGCTGTGGAGCCAGCAATGAGCCCCGTGGCGCTTGTGAGTGTCTCACCTCATGGGTGGCTCCATGCCCTTCTTTATGGGGTGGTTGGGAGGTGACAGGGACACAGCAGCTTCTCCCTCTGTTGTACAAATGAATTCAGCACATGGGGAGCAGCATGGCTGAAGAATCAGCGATGAGAACAGGGCGTGTGTATGTGAGAAGTCTGAGTAGGGGGCACCCCCGAGTGCAGAAGGCCGTGTAGTGAATGCATTGCACCCCAAGCCCTTGTTGGAGCCATGGGCCTTGCTGCATGGCCCAGGGCCTTCCTTGCTGTTAGACACAGGGGTTTCCACCATCCTGCACCATGTGGATTGAGGGCATAAACGTCTCACTCCCTTTAACCTTAACTGCCCCGTAACCCCTCTACTCTCCTGCCAGGGTGCACTCCCTCCTGGTTGTCCTTGTGTAGTTCCATGCACATGGCTGCAGTGCTGTTCTAGGTGGCTGTGGCCAGCGAGGCCTGTGTAGCCATTTGTGCTGGTCCCTGCATAGTTTTGCTGCATGGGGACTGAGCTGTCCCTATACAAACTGTTTCCTTTCCATGGTCTGTCTTGTGCCCAAGCTCCTCACACAGATTTGTACCTTGCCTTTGCAGCATCTGTTCAGGGCAGAGAAGATACCTGTGCTACTCATGGGAAGCACAGGAACACAGGGATCAGGGAAAGGAGCTCTTTGGTTCCCCTGCTACTTTAGCCCTGGTTCTACACTGCTGTGCTTGGTCCTCAGCCCTGATCCACAGCACTGTCTGCTCTCCTGCCCACCCTGGGCACAGCTGGCAGCTGTGCCAGGGCAGAGGAGCTGGCAGCCCATCACATGCCCACCCTGGGGTCACTGTAGGCAGATCCAGTCTGGAAGGAATTACTGGGTGAGTTTTCACAGCAGCTGTGCTCTGTGCTTGAGGGCATTGCATTGTGTGCAGGATGAGTCTGATGAGCAGGGTGGAAGGATGTGGCTAGTCCCTTGGGCCAGCAGACGCAAGTTCCAAAGGCCATGGCCTGCAGCTCTTGGAGGATCTCTGCATTTGTTTGTCTGAGGATGCTGGAGGTTAATGATTGTGGGAATGTTACCATCTACCCCGCTTCCTGTGGGGCTGCTCGGAAGATGGCTCACAGGTTGGGGGGAGGAAGGTGCTGACTAAAGCCTTCTCTGGACTAAAACAATACATGTTCTGCCCAGCTCGGATGCCAGTGATGAGCTGTAATGCAAGCAGGCTGTGGACCGGTTGCCTGTCCTGCGTGCATGGCTCCTGTTCCACAGCCTTGCTCGGAGTGCCAGAGTAGGAAAACATTTCCTGGTTTACTTGGCTCAGCCTTCAAGAGGAGTTGAGCCTGTCTAGCTGGTGGGGACGTGCAATATGTGGTCCAGGCTGGGGTGCTTCTCTCTGACTGCAGCATTATGCTCTGGACCCAGAACTGGCTGGGGCCGAGAGGTGGTTTTGCCTTCCTGGGTGGGATTTGCCACTTAAGAAGAGGAGAGGACTTGACACCTTTCCTCCCCACTGGGGCTGTTTCCCTCTTCCTTTCTGAGCACCAGACAGACAGGTCTGCAGCTCCCAACTCTGCTGTGCTTGGCCGTTTGGCAGGTGTCTGCTTCGCCCAACTTCTGTTGGAATCTGAGGTTGGGCAGGGCTGAGATCGGGTCAGGGCGGGAAGCAGGAGATGACTGTTTGGCTGGAGTAGCAACTGCTGCAAGCCCCCCACCTCTATAAAACACTGCTCCAATGTGCAGCTCCCTCCAGTGCTGCACAGCCTTGCCCTCGCTCTTGTGCTAGCTGTACTTGGGGTGGGTGCAGAAGGTGATTGCATCCTGGGCCAGGTGCTGCAGAGCTGCAGTGCCTGTGGCCCTGCCTGGGGGTCTGTGTTCTGTGAGGAGCCAGGGGGGTTCCCTGTGGGGGGCTCTCATAGTGAGGTTAACATGTTTTTTAGATTAAACCTTGCTAGGGCCAGGTGATAAAGCATCAGCCAGGGCCTTCTGAGGTTCAGGTGAACCCACTTTATGGCTGGTGAATGAGAATTGGGAAACTGCTCCTCTCCTGCTGGAAGGTTGTGAGCAGGCTCCCTGGCTGTCCCAAAGCCTGGAGCACAGGCTCCCTTCTGCTCAAGGGGAGTGAATCTCCAAGCCCCTCTCCTAGCATGGAGGGCAACTCCTGTCCCCCACCCCTGCTGGGAGCCCCAGCTCACGCAGAGTCTGCTCGAGTCAGCCACCAAGGTGGCAGGAATCGCTGAATCTCTGCAGAGAGCCTGTTCTCTGTGGCTTTGGGACTCCCCTGTGCGGAGAGTCCTGCCCATGGCTGTGGCCGGGGTGTGTGGGGGAGCAGCCTCTGCTTGTCATTGGTGCGTGAAAGGTGCAACTGAAAGTGGCCCGGAGGTCGTGGGCCTTGTGCTGTGGGTGGGGAGCAGGTTACAGGAAGAGGTGTTGAATTGGCAGCCTCTTACTCAAGGCGTTCTTGGAAGTGCTCTGGGTTTGAATTAAGGACCCTGCTTGTGTTCCAGGATGAGGTGGTTTCTGTGCCCTGTTTTTTTGTGACCTGTGGGCTAAGCTAATTTAGGGGCACAGCCGGGGCCCTCAATGCACGTGTCCTGTCCAGCCAGGATCAGGCAGTTCCCTTGCATCACCTTCGTCCAGACGGCAGCCTCATGAGCACTCCTCTGCCAGGCCTTGGTCTCTCCTGGGGATGACCTGTCTTTGTTTTCCCGACTCCATCCTGTGAGCCGAGCGGAGTGCCTGAGAACCTCCTGTTCCTGGGCTGCAGAACCGGCTCCTGCCTACCTGCCACTGGCCCTCAGTGTGGTTGTCTGGCAGGGCGTGGGCTCTCGGGGGTTTAGGGAGGGGCTGACTGCTGTGCCCAAGTAGAGAGGAGGATGTGGTGTGTGTTTGGGGCCTGGGTGTCCCCGTGGGTTGGCTTGTACTGTGCTATAAATATCAGGCACTCAAATTTACCCTCTGGTGATTTCCAGGGAATGAGTGGGTGTGATTGTTTGACCTACCTCATTAGTAAGAAGGCTCATGTGAATTCATGTGCTTCAGTTGGCAGATGCCCTGGTGCTCTGATGCTGCCTGGTGCTGGGAAGTGGAACTCATCAGCTCTCAATTCCAGAGACTTGCAAAGGGGAAGAAGTTGGGCTTCTGGCCCCCACCTTCTTCTGTTCCCTTTCCTTGCCATGTGTAGAAGGCCCAAAAGCTTTCTAAAGTTCCCAAGAAAAGACCAGGAGTCATAGGGGTGCTTACACATTCATCTTCACATCTCGTGGAGAACAGAAATGAAAGTTACAGCGCTTCCCACCTGTAGTCTGGGAAAATCGGGAAGCACGAGGCACACAGGCTAGAATGGCTGGTGTCCTTGGCAGGGGTGACCACTGGCCATGTAATGGAGGAAATGCACTGGGAGCCTGGGGAAATGTGTGCTTCGGGTGTTTGTGGCAGCTGGCACCAGTGACCTGGCTGCCAGCCTGGTGCAGCTGTTTGGGGGCGCATTGAGGAAGGTTCCTCCTGGCTCATTCCCTACCTCTGGGTGAGAGGGACAGTGGGAGAGGGAGCTGTCCACTTCCACCAGCAATAAGGAGAAACTGATGCATAGAAATAACATGGGAGGAAGGTCTGAGCTCGCATCAGTCCTGCCATAGCCTGTCAGTGCTGGCCTGGTAGGGAGGGCCACAAGATCACAGCATGCAGGTGGGAAGCTGTGTGGCTTTCTCAGTGTGAAGAAGACAGATCTGCTATGAGGTGGGTGGCCAGCACTAAAGGCATTGTTTATTTTAGGCACAGATTTGATGGCCATCAGAAGAGCCATGTTTCGTCATTTTTGTGGTGTGGGAGAGAGCTGATCTGGGACCAGATCTGCCTGCTCCTGAGCCCAGGGGGTCGAGAACTCTCCTTAGTTACCAAAGAGGGAGGGCTACAGAGTGTTTGTCCTGCTTCAAGCCCTCTATGGTATTTCCTGGTATACCAAGTGACCTCTCATTTACTGGTAACTCTCCGAGTATTGTTATGCTTGGAGCCTTTACGGTTAGAGCTTCTGTATGCTGTGCTGTGTCTTAGAAATGACATGCTGGCCCCCAGCTGGAGCCTCTGCTTGGGATTCAGCACACAGCACAGCAACTGCTGACCCCCAAGAGCCCCTGAGTCGCTCGTGTAGGAGGGCCCCAGCCCTGAGTTCCAGCAGGTTGCCTCCGTGGGCTCCCCCACCTGCGCCCTGCCCTGTGCCGGGACCGCTCCTGTTCCTGCCCGCCTGCTTGCGTCATGGCCATTTCTGGCTCCTGTCAATCCAATGAAGTGTTTAATTCATTTCTTTTACGTAAGAACAATAGTTCGCGACAGCTACGGTCACTTCCTTTGTCTGTCATGTTTCCTTTCTTCTCCTGTTTCCCGGCAGGCCTCTGGCTGTACCTAGCAGGAAGCAGTCTGCCCTGCCTAACCCTGATTGGCTCTCCTAATTTTGGATACAGGTCAGTTCATCGGGACTTGGAAGCTCAGGTTGCAATTGTGACGGAAAATAGAGACCTGCAACACCAGCTCCATCAGGTGGGTGTGAGTGGGAGGGGCGGGGGAAGGGAATGCTGCATTCAAAACCTACCGTGGCAGTCAGTGAAACCCTTCCCAAGCAGAGGGGAGCTTGAGGAGCTGTCAGTTAAGTGTCTATTGATGAGCTGCTGGCTATGAGTGCCTGCTTCTGGGAACCCGAGCCCATGACGAGAAAGAAGAGCTGTCCCCAATGACCTCCCAAGTGATGGGAACCGTTAGGCCCTGGGGGCTGAGCAAATGCAGACAAGCCACTCCGAGCAAAGCCGCTGACTCTCCTGTGGCTACTGATGGCAGCACGCGCTCCTGGTTCCCTCCATTGTCAGGTAGCGTCTGAGCTCTGGGGAACAGGCCTCGGGCTCTCACAATTGCTGACCTCACTTGCAGAGTGGTTTGGATCTTAATCATGCAGCTGGAATCCTGTACAGGAGTGTGAATGCCACTGTGGCTGCTTTCTAGCTATTTCCTTTCCCACAGGACTTAGGAGAGAGGGGAGGCAGGGCAGGCCTGGGCTTCCAGCATCACTGTTACCGTAAGAAGACGTGTCCAGCTCCTCTTGGGTTCCTCGGGAAGGATTGTGCTCCTCCAGGTCTAGATTCCTCTCAGTGGTTGAGAAGCTTTCAGCTTTCATTTCATTGTCTTTTTCCCACCCCACACCCCATCTGTTTGGACTTTGGCATTGTTGTGAGCAGCTCCTGCAAGTCCGAGCTCTTTGGCACGGATTAGTGCAGATGCTTTATTTAAAGCTTTGCAAAAATCTACTGGATCACACCCAGGTCTGGTATGGGAAGGCTCAGTTTCTGTCAGATCATTGGGAATTGTCTCTCTTTCCCCAAGCTGATTTGGCCCTGTGAAATGGGTTCAAGTGTGCCTAGGCAAACAGGGTTCTCTGTCTTGCTGGAAGTCATATGGATGTTCCCCTTTGTGTTTGTCCCGCAGCTGGGCTTTTCCTAATGAGGAAAACCGATAGCAGTGTTTGGAGTGAAGAGACCTGGGAACAAGCATGTGGCCTGCAGCCATCCATCAGCAGGCGTTTCCCATGGGTGTGAAACTGCCCTGCAGTTTACTTCCTGGCTGGGGTGAGGCTGAGGTGAGCTCTGCCAGAGCCTTTGCAGCACCAGTGCCTTGCTCTCACCCTTGTTCTCAGTGACTGTTTTCCACTGGACCTGATGGCTGCACTTAAGTGTTAGGCATCAGGCGTATCTGCTTCCTATGTGCTAGCTCAGTCAAGACTTTGTTTTCAGATGTACGAACAACCAGGCTGTTTGGTCCTTCCAGTAGTCACGAGACCTCAACAAGTTCACTTTGTGGTTTCATTTGCCTTCGTGCCTTGGAGCCTTTCATCTTTATGCTCTTGTACTTGTAATTGCCCTGCAGGTCTCTTTGCTGACTCCCTCCAGCAGCTATTTTACAAAATGTTGCTCACCTGCTGCCTTGGCAGGGCCTTGCCTGTGTCGCACTCTAACACACTTACACTTTCAAATGAATGCTTTACCTGGGGAAGGTGCCAAGCAGGCTCAGATGGCTCTTCTGGCTGCTGCACTGAGTGAACCAAGGTAAATATTTTGTTAAAAGCTCTGAGCTGAAACAGGCCTCACTACATTACGTGACTAAAGCCTGGAGCCTCTCGCACAGGGTCTAGCACGGGACTCAAATGCTTGTAATTGGTACAAGCAGGCTAGCTGCTGCCAGGATCTTCTGCATCACACAGCAGCTCGGGATGTTCCTGTCCTGTTTTCCCCCAATTTCCTTCTCCTCTCCTGTGATGGCAGGAAAGAGACTTTCTGTGTAAAGTGCAGAGAAGACACTGCTGCTTCCAGAGTATGCCCCACACCATATTTGCATGAACAGGAAAGCAAGAGACCTCACTAATTTTATTGAAAGAGCCACTTCTACCTTTGATCAAACCACGACTTTTGTTTGCCCTGTGAAATGTATCGGAACTGAGCACTCACTTCCCTCTCCAGCAGTGCTGTATGTGCTTTGAAGAAACTCGAGCATTTCTGGTAACTTGCTTGAAACCTTGACTGCATACTCATTTGAAAACATGTTAGAGCTGTGTCTAGAAAGAGTTTTTCAAACCTGACTCTTGAGATCAGAGTCTGGCTTCTTTCTCAGGCTGTTGCAGCTAGGGGCTGGCCCCTGTCACTGTTCCTGTTTCCTATAAGTGTAATTGAGTTAACTAACTGCTTCAGGGCCCAATCCAGCAGACACCTCCAGTGGAGCCCATCTTCAGATGTAAATAGCTGAGCATGTTTAGGCAGAGTATTTGAGTGTAGCTGCCTAGAATAAAATCGTGAAGCCTCAGCGGGCAGCCTTGTTGTGACATGCCATCTGCTCATGGTTTGGTGGGCAAGTTGCGTCTCTGGTTCACGTTGCAGTGTTGGACAGGATGGGTCCTTGGCCCCTGACCTGGCAGAGCTGTTGAATTCAGACACGTAGGAGAAGAATGATTTATCCTTCTAGCAAGAGCCACAGTCAGTCTTCAGCTGAGACTGGATGTTTGAGAGAAGGGCAAAGCATTGGCTTCTGGTCCTTTGTCTTGTAGGAACAGGAGCAGCTCTATCTCAGGTCGGGCATGGTGTCACCATCTACGTTTGAGCAGCCGAGTCGCTATGTGAAGCTCTGGGTGAAGCTGGTAACACCTCTGATTAAGAACTTCTTCTGAAGGCATAAAGGAGGTGGCTTGGGGTGAGTGTTACATTTTGCTCCAGGAGGGCCTAAACCTCAGGAAATGATCCCATGGTGACTGCACTTCTTCATGTTGCCTTTTTTTGTAATGGGGAAGAGTCAGTCATCCCAGGTTTCTCTCAAATTGGGAAGCTGCTCACTGCAGCTCAGAGCCTTCTGAGGGCCTGCATTACATTTCCCCATGAGTGGGTTTCATTTCTACTTTGTCATAGTTTAGAAATAACTAATGATCCTTCTGGGAAACAGGGAGGAAAGAACCCAGCAAAGGCTTCCCATACACCGGTACGATTTCCTCTTATGAAATGTCCCTGTTGCAGCTGGGGTCTCGGCTTGGACTCTACCTGTGTGCTCCTGATGAGGATCATGCCGTGTCCTTTCCTGTGTGACCTGGGGCTGGAGGGAGGAGAAGACTCATCCAGGGCCTGTTCAGAAGTGCTTACCTTGGCCCAGTGGGCAGTGTCTGATGAGAGCCATTGCTGTCCTGGCTCAGACCAGACCACAGCAGCCCTTCCTCCTAGTACTTGCACAACTGCCAAGAAACTGGGGGAGGCCTGAGTCCAGCTGGCCACGATTGGGAAAGGGCAGCATGTCTGCCTCTGTGCTGCCGCTGCCTCCTTGTGTGACCTCAGGCTCTGCCTGTAACCTGCTCCCACCTTTGAAAGAGCCTGGCATGTCTATGCTGCAGGGATGCCCAAGTCTCTGGCACCCAGGGCTGAGCACCGGGCTGGCAGACCCCGAACCCGAGAGCTCCCTGAGCTGTGCCCTGCCTGCACTCCGGGGATCTTGCCTACAGGAGAGCCTGGAAGCAGCACTGGGGCTTGTCCCGTAGCACTGTGGGCTCAAATGCTGTGAGTCAGTTGTGGGAAGGGCACTGGAGGGAGGCTCAGCACTTGTGGGAATATTGCCATGCATGTCCTGTGGAGAGGATGGATCCAGCCCAGCCCATATCCGTTGCCCTGCTGTCAGCATGAGCAAGCGTAGCCTGGAAGGTTTGGTGGTGGTTAGTCGGGAGTGCAGACCACAACCAGGACCGCAGTGAAGGCTAGCTGTTGAGGTGGGCCCAGGGCCTGGCTGGCAGGAGACCAGCGCCAGCTTTTGGTGGCATTCCCAGGCCAGAGCTGTCCCTAGAAGCCTGGCCCACGTTCTGCCGTTGCTGTAACTGCTTCTTAGAACAAAGGCTCTTAGGCCAACTGCTGAGGGCAGGGATGCCCGAGTGGCTGAAGCTGTGGAGCCAGCTGTGTTGTTGTAAGGCTGGGTACCAGGCTCCTGCATGCAGAGGGAGAGGGTTGGGCTCTAGCTGAGGCATGGGGAGGGGCTGGCCTCCCTTGGCTGCAGTGGGCCATCCTGGGGCGAGCGCGCCTGCAGCAGTGATGGGTTCTGCAGGCTCCACCGTTGGGATGGTGTGGGTGGCCTGCCACTGGTGCTAGCCTCACTAGGGGGAGCTGTATGCCCACAGGCTGTTGAACTTGCTGTTCAAGGGGGGGGTGCAGGCCAGGCCCTGGGTGATGGAGCAAGGGGATGGACAGACCCTGCATCCCAGAGGCAGAGACAAGTGTGCCGGACTTAGGTGTTTGCAGCCCATTGCACCAAGGCAAAGCTGGCAGTCTGCAGAACGGGGAGGCGCCGTGAGCCTTAGCAGCAGGGTGCTTAGGAGCAGGTGTGTGGCCCCAGCACGGGGGCAGTGTGCAGCAGAACATGGGTGCCTGCGCTCTCCCCTGTATGGCAGCCCGTTCCCCTCTGCCCTGCCTGGGATCCCCTGGGATAGGGGCTGTGGTTGCTGGGGCCGGGTGGGAGGTGAGCACTCTGCTGTTGCCATGGAATAAGTGACTGGTAGGTGTGTGGGACTAGAGGTGAAGGTGGCCATGGGCCAGTGTTTGTGGCTGCCACTTTTCTTTAGCACATGCTCTAAGCAGGGCTTTCTCACAGCCTGACTTGGTGTTCTCATGGGGGCATCAGGTGGCCACGTATCATGACAGCCGCCCAAACAGGCCAGTTACTACTGAGCCACCGTGCTAGGAACTTGATGTTTCTTTTATTGTCACATGGCTAAAATACCTCAGGGACAGACAAGGGGTCGGGCTGTGGATTCAGTGAGTGCCCACAGGCTCTGCAGCCTGTGATGAGTGGTGGTTCAGTAGACGATCAAACCTGCAAGAGCAAAGCGACAGCAGCAAGAATCCACTTAGCTGGTTTCTCTTTTGTCTTCAGGTTGAAGGTCCAGACATAAGTGGGGCCGCGTATCCGTGTCTTGTAGACGGGGCACTCGTAGACATTCTTGGTGTCCATGCGGTCCACGGGGATGGCTCTGATGAAGATGACTGGCATCGAGGGCGTCAGCTCCTTCAGCCGCGCGTCTGCGATGACGCCACTAGGAATGTCCCAGCGAGCGCCTGGAAGGGTGCGAGCTGTCAGCTTGCTAAGCCGGAAGGGGTGGGGATGGGGATCCTGGCAGCAAGACCTGGCTGAGGGCTGCGTGGGTCCCCCTTTGTGCCATCTCCTTGTGACACACTGACGCCTCCTACAGTAATGCTAGGGGTGGGGTCTCGGGTGTGCAGTCCTGCCCGGAGCTCTGGGGGCAGGCACGCAGGGAAGGGCAAAGCTTGGCCAAGTACAAGCCACGTTAAACTATCCTGTGTAGTCTGTTCGGGTTGGTCTCGGCGGGGTCTGGCTGGGAACTTCCTTCTTACTTGGGCTCCCTGTCCAGTCTGCTGTACTATTGGGACTCCCCTTCCCAGCCCACTGCAGTAACCTCCCCGGCCCTGTCGTAACCTCCGCATCTTGCTGCTGGATTCCCAGCCTGAGCATCAGCCTGTTGCTGCTTCCAAGTTAGCTGAGTGCTGCTCCCTGCTGGCCCCTGCCTGACACTGGTACACAATAAAAGCAGCTGCTCCCCAAACGGCCCCTGGCTCTTGTGTATGGATCAACATAGCAACGCAAAGCCAGTAAGAGCTGCTGGGATGCTGGCAAGTACAACCTGGTCAGTCATTGCGCCTTAGCTGTGGCCTGGGGGGATGGCTTGCGCATACGCTGTACTCAGCGCTGGCCTCATCATGGGGAGGTGGCTGTGGGAGTGCTCCTGCCCTGAGGCAGCACGCTCTGAACAGCGTCAGTGCGCGTGGGGCCCTGCGCTGACGTGGACAGCAGTGATGGCCTGGGGCCGCTAACAGCTGACAGCTCAGAAAGCACGGCTCTGTGCGCTGCAGGGAGGAAAGATGTCAGAGCAGGAGGATGCAGTGCCTCAGCCTTTCTAGAAACTGCGTGTTTAGA